TAAATAATATCACTCGTAAATATTTAACATTCGTAAAAGTTAACATTTCTAGTAAAGTATCATAGCTATGTACTAAACATTTGTAGAATAGTTGTGGTAAACAACAAGAACCCATAAAATATAATATAGTTAACATTCCTAGTAATGTATCATAGCTATGTACTAAACATTTGTAGAATAGTTGTGGTAAACAGCGAGATCCCATACAATATAATATAGTTAACATTCCTAGTAAAGTATCATAGCTATGTACTAAACATTTGTAGAATACTTGTGGTAAACAACAAGAACCCATACAATATAATATAGTTAAGATACCTAGTAAAGTATCATAGCTATGTTCTAAACATTTGTAGAATACTTGTGGTAAACAACAAGAATCCATACAATATAATATAGTTAATAATTCTAGTAAAGTATCATAGCTATGTACTAAACATTTGTAGAATACTTGTGGTAAACAACAATAACCCATACAATATAATATAGTTAATAATTCTATTAAAGCATCATAGCTACGTACTAAACATGTGTAGAATACTTGTGGTAAACATGACAAGTCCATGCAGTGTAACATAGATAACATTCTTAGTAAAGCATCAAATATATGTACTAAAAATGTGTAGAATACTTGTCGTAAACAAAAGCACTTGCAGTGTGATATAGTTTGCGACATCTGAAAAGTATAGTATATATATAATGATGTACAAGACAAAACAGAATACTGGCGATAGCAAGAAGAACCAAAATGTTAAATGTATTCACAGCACTAGCCATGCTAAAGTAAATTCCTTAAAGGGGCATAAATTTGATAATAAAATTATTCCGCAAATAACTTGTTAATGGTTACTGGTGTGCATACAAACTCCTTGTTTTTAATATTAAATTAAAACTTTGTACTTGTAGTAAATGAAATAAAAGGATAGCATATTTGAGGAAATTTTATGTAAAAACTATGACATGCCGGTAGGAGAAGCTAGGGGATAGAGGAGAGCAAAAAAGAACCCAGCTGAGCATGATTTTAGAGCCTCTAAGGTGAAGAAATTTCACCGAAAGTAAATATTGTCGTACTTGCTTAGTCAGCGTAGCCCATCGATCAAAGCCTTGATACCGTATTTGTTTAAGTTCTTTGTTTGGTGACCTCGGTCCCGATGTGACTCAATTATGCTTCGACCTAACAGAATCTCTGACTGATGCATTAAATAATTAATCCTTTTGAGCATTTCACCTTGAAATTAAAATGAAGAATTTAAATAAAGAAGCATTTCGAGTTCTCTCTAATGAAATGTTATGAATATTTATGACTTTATCAAAATTGTAAAACTTCATTAAATAAAATCAAGGAATTTTTAAGCGAAATAACATATCATAGCTAATTTGAAATATTTTTTAAAAGTATAATGTAATATCTTATTTGTGTATATATTCTTCTACAGACATAACCATTTCGTGTGTTGTTTGTTTGTTCTTTCTGTATGATAAATGACTTTTTCGAAATTAATATAAGTTGGTTGGTTGTCTTAGAACTTCACGCAAACCTACACAAGGGCTATCTGAATTAGTCGTTCTTAATGTTTTACCTAGAAAGAATGAACTTAGTCAACACAACCAACAACCAATCTTTTAGCTATTCTAATTGAATAGTGTTTTTTTACTGTTGTTATGACGCCCCCATTGTCCCAAAGCTCAGGGCGCGATTTTGCGACAACGGAACGCGAACAATAGACCCTCGAATTCATTGTCCAGCACGTTGATCACTAGACCACGCCCCATCCAAATTGTTATAAAACCTTGCTAAAGATAATATTTATTTATGTATTGTATAGTGCTAAAAATGTCTTTAAAATATTTTCTATTACATGAAAATCAAATGATGTTGTTCATGTGAGTCGACCATTTTGTTCTTTTACATTTAAGTATTAATTTTTATATGCGCAAATTCCATGATATTAAATACATCTAATGTACATCTTATAAAAAACACCTTACGTGTGAAAAAAAAGGTGCGGCCAAAAAAAATAAGAGTTGAACGTGCGACTTAAGGAAATGAAATCAAAATTGGCAGACAAACTAATAGATAAACTTATAACATTGATAAGAGTTTTACAGCAAATATTCATTCATTAGTTAGCCAGGTCGAATTTTTTGTTCAACTTGGGGCATGATAGTGGGTAGAACAAAACACGCGGCCTAGCTAACTAATGAATGAATATTTGCTGTAAAATTCTTATCAGTATTATAGGTTTAAGTTACCAGTTTGATCGTACGCTCAATCTTTTTTTGGCCGCACCTTGTTTTTTACACCCAAGGTGTTTTTGATTAGATATCATAACTTTTTGTCAATACACACCAACATACCACAGCAAGTAAGAAAGTGAAACTCGATAGTAACCAACATTAGCCTTAGGATCGCAACCCTATTATTCGGAAAAGACTATACTTTACAGAACCATTCAGATTCTTTAAAATATATGGTGATAGTTTTCCTCCCTAAAACAGTGTTAATAACTTCCTTTATAGTAACGCCATGGAATCTAGATTAACAGTTTCTTGTCATCACCCGCATGCACTCGCTACAGCTATATCAAGCATCATTATTTACGCTAATTGTTTAAGCCAATATCACGTGGCACTAAACGCTCTTGAATTAGGAGAATGTCATAAAGTTTAACAAATTTGTGCTTAAAAGTTGTCAATGAATAATAACCGTCCACCCATATGATTATTTTAAAAACTTGAGCTAGAAACTGCTAATATAGTTTACTTGGCCTAACCAATACTTATGTATTTCCACGTGCTTTCACCCTATAGTTTTGTTGCTCTGAATCAGCCGTTTTTAATCCGAATGACAAAAAACTAAAAACGGTCCACTTTTACTCTTTGAGCTCTCGTGACTTTTTACATATGCATGCGCAAAAATGTTGGTGAAACTTGGGCAGATTTTGTCGAATAACTTTGAACATGTGGCTTATATTTAGACTAATTTGACATCTAATTGTAAGTTGTAAAGATCTATTAGTGTACCAAATTTACAAAAAAGCCATAAAAGCTAAGTATGTTTTCGTACTTTCGAGTCGAAGAAAAAAAACAGAAGAACTTCAATCAAAATTGGAGATTTTATGTCTTGTGTATTTCTTAATGAATTGTTTTGAAATTTGGTATGTGAAGTAAGGACCCAGAATAGCACATCCACTAATAATATGTGATAGTTTGGATTACCACAATCCGAGCTACGGAAAGTTGAAAATTGCTAAACTATCACTCCTGTTAATAACACACAGTGTGTCCTGCAGATTGTTTTGGCCGCACGACACGCTACCATGTGTCTTGGTATAACATTGAAAAACTCACAATTTCTCTGGCAGAACATCTAGCATTTTAAAAATTGGATCTTCCGTTGCCTAACATATAAACTCTACTAGAGACTCATTGCTTGACATTTAAACTCTACTGAAGACCCATTGCTTGACATTTAAATTCTAGTGAAGACCCATTGCTTGATATTTAAACTCTACTGAAGACCCATTTTTGTATATTTAAACTTTACTGACGACCCATTTCTTGATATTTAAACTTTACTGAAGACCCATTTCTTGATATTTAAACTTTACTGAAGACCCATTTCTTGATATTTAAACTTTACTGAAGACCCATTTCTTGATATTTAAACTTTACTATAGGTCTATCGTCTGACGTTTAAATTCCATTAAAACCCTTCGCTAGATATTTAAATTCTACTAAAACTCTTT